GTGACATTCTAACAGCTTTTTTCTTAAAAATCTCTCAGTGATTTTCTTACCTGCTTTATGAACCCTTACAGTAAAGCCCATGGGGAATAGAATTATGAGTTCCTGTTCTTTATCATCTTATAAATGTTCTTTAATGAGTATGCATTACAATAATTATTCTAATTACATTAGAATAATTATTAAAGAGTTTTTTTTTTAATCCATGGGAGTTTTGAGACAACACAGGAGAAGTTTCAACTATGTAGAAATACATACCTCTAGAAATACATACCTTTAAAAATCTTATGTCATTGTTTTACAGGTCAGTAAACAAAGTATCAGAGAAGTTAATTGATTACCATAGGGCACACTTCTGGTGATAGTTTTCTTACCTGACATACACATAGAGGTGACCCTATACTTTTATTTTTTCCATTTGTATTGATGGTTTTCTCGATAATGAAGTTATAAGCAATACAGGCATACCCTGTTTTACCATGCTTCACTTTATTGCACTTCACAGGTGTTACATTTTTTGCAAACTGAAGGCAAGACCCTCCACCAACAAAAATATTATGACTCACTCTGTTACAATACCTGCTTTATTATGGAGGTCTGAAACTGAACCCACAGTGTCTCCGAGGTATGCCTGTATTACTTTATTTCAGAAGTGAAAGACACTGGTTTCTGAAGTGTCTAACAGGAGAAACCCATTAGTGGAAGTTGCTTGAGGTTGCTAAGCAATAAGGAATAGGAATAATAGGAAGACTGTGTTCTTCCCTAAAAAGGCTTGCATCTTTTTCTTATTCTTTTCTTAAACATGAGAAACAATAGCATGGGAACTATTGATCGCAATAATTATATGGCCTTCTTATGCTCATCTCACTCTCTTCTGGTTTGTCTCTCAAGTTCAAGTTTCTAATCATGTGTTTTAGTGGTTGGAGTGTCAAGTGCTTCAAACGAATACTCAAACCAAATTACACATAAGTGGTAAGATTTGCAAGCTCTCCTCTCTGAAATGAGTACTTCCTCCCCTCCTTATGTCTGAGGAAATACTACCTGATGTGGGCCTTAGACTGTTCCTTCCGAGAGAATAATGGGAAGTCAGTTACCAATGGAATTCTACAAACTGGACTTGGTGAGGAAAAAGCACTTTTTTATATCTACTGTTTGCCAGTACCTTGTTAAATGCTAGATGTATAAAAATGATAGAGTCCTTGCCTTTAAGCAGCCAACAGCCTGTGAGGATAAGACATGCTGTTTCAGGCATCCGCTGGGAGTCTTGAAATGTATTTCCCATGGATAAGGGGAGGTACTACTATATTTCATTCTCTTATTTGCTAGGCTAATATTAAAACACACATTGATGCCTGGCTAATATTCATCTTTCTTTCCCAGTTTCATATTCTGAATCTCATAGTAAAACCCTACTTGGAGGTGATTGGATTCCTCCACACATGCATTCATGATGAATATATTCCTAGAAAAGATTAAAAACAACAACAGCCTTATTGGCTTTGAGTGCGCTAGCAGTTTAAAAGAGGGAAAATCGATATCTCAGCTATGTAATGAGAAAACTTGCGATCTGAGAGAGAACAATTGTTTAGTTTCTACTTAAAAAATTCACAGAACAGGGTGATAAATTGATCTGTTTTAATTAAGCTAAACCCGTGGTCGGCAAACCGCGGCTCGAAAGCCACATGCGGCTCTTTGGCCCCTTGAGTGTGGCCACGAAGTTTCAATCGCACTGTACGTGCGCGCCTGCACGTGGTATTTTGTGGAAGAGCCACACTCAAGGGGCCGCAGTTTGCCGACCACTGAGCTAAACCATTAGGCCATGTAAGTAAAAGTTGAAAAGATGTGTTGAACACAATGTGTTATTTAAAACCTTTAATAACCAAAACTTTTTACCTGTCTACTAGAGAGAGATGTGATTACACCATCAAGCAAATTGTCAAATGCATAAAAGACTTTAAAACCAACCCTCTTTTACTCATTAAAGTCTTCTAGTGCTTCATTAATTTTAATGATATAATCTAGTTCTGATTGAAGTGCACCTGAATGCAGTCTGTGCCTCATCAGCACTGATGAGTTCCAAGTAATTCGGCCCATGTCTGCGGAGTGATCACAGACTCCATGTCTCTCCTTCCAGCTACTCTGTGCTTGGTTGCCCAGGACTTTAGCAGCACAGCTTTTACGTTCCAGGAGCCCAGTGTCTTCTTTTCCAGCCCCACCTACATTATTTGAAAGAGGTATCTATTTTCAGAGCTGCTTTTATACTAACAGCTGAGTTGTGTGCAAAGATTTTCTGGAGATGCCAAAATATGACATTTCTTCCCCGAATCTTTGGATTGAATATAGAAATAGCCTATTTAAGTCAAGTACATTTTAAAAGGAAGGAGACTGATGTGTATGTTAAAAATTAAATGACTGTCAGTTCATTGCATTTCCACCATAACTCTAAGTTTCATAAAACTATTTTTAAACCCTCTTCTTAAATCCTGCTTTTATAATTCCATAATTACATTTCTCATGTGATATTTTTTATTAAGTTATTACATATGTGTCCTTATCCCCACATTACCCCCCTTCATCCTCCCCACTCATGCCCTCACCCCCCTGTTGGGCATTGGTTAGGCCTCTATGCATGCATACAAGTCCTTTGGTTGATCTCTCCCCTTTACCCCCACCCTCCCCTACCTTCCCTCTGAGGTTTGACGGTCTGATTCATGCTTCTCTGTCTCTGGATCTGTTTTTGTTCATCAGTTTGTGTTGTTCATTATATTCCACAAATGAGTGAGATCATGTGATATTTACTCATTGTCAAATGTAGGTTATGCTTACAGAATGAATACATGATAATTATGGGACATCTCTTTAACCCTTGGCCTCTAGTATTTTCAGCATTAGAACACGTGACTTGTTGAACATATGAGCCCAAAGCAGGAAGGTCAGACAATCCAATCCCATATCTACCACAGGAACAAGTGAAGCATTGGTCATTTGTAGCAACTGGGTGGGGCCTTCTCCAATGATGCAAGAGGCCCGTCCAACTGCTGTGATCCCTCCATCCTCCGTTTCTAGGTTCTATGATAACCCTTTGCCTTAGCTTCATATAGGATTTTTGCAGAAAGGATAAAACGTAATTTACTTGGCTTCCTTTTCTGAACCATCCGATTGCAGTCTTGCGGTTCTTAGGTTAGTCTTAGATCCCAGGCAACTCTTTGGTTTTAGTCTTACACATGGCTAATCTCCATTATGTGTAGATTTTTCTAGTTTAAATCTTAGATGGCAGTTTTATTTGCCTTTTTAAATGTTTTGAGGTTTTTGAGGATCTCTGTCACTTTTGTTGTTTCCCAATAAAATTTTAAGTCCCTGTATAGTTCCTTACATATACAAGAAAAAGGAATATTTCTAATGTAGAAAGATGGTGATTATTTCATTTCTATCTTGATCATTGGATTAAATACAGTAGATATTCCATAATTTATACCAAAGTTTTCCTCCATTTCAATTAATAGCTATGTATCCCTTTACATTAAAAATTGGGCTTAATTCAATTTTAAATTTTAAAAAGTTGTTATGAAATATTTAGGAATAATAAGACTTACCATGTCTGGGACCAGCAGGTGAGAATAGGAGCCATCATTGTGAAAGGGGTGATCAGTGCTGACAGCAGAGAAGAAGAGCTGCTTTTACACGATGGGCAGAGAGGAATAGATGTGGAACCCATGTGATACAAGTGGCATCCCTTGTACTATTATAACGGGAGGTGAAAACCAGGCCCAAGAAGGATATAATTGCCAAAGTCTCAGGACTGAAGGCTTGGTTCATACAACAAAGTAAGCCACCATAGTCTGCCAAGACGAAGATTAGGGAAATTCAGAGTGGATAATGGAGGAGGTCGAGGAGGACTACCAGTTGCAGCAATGGGATTTTAGTTTATACAGCTAACCCCCCTTTTCTAAGATCTTCCTTAGAAAGTGAGATCCATGGGAGCCACAAAGAAGCTTCTCCCTGAAGTGAGTCTGTATGATGCAAAGAGTGGACTGTGGTGGCCATGAAAATGCATCACTGAGATCTCCCCTTGCATAATCTAGCTGACAACTCTAGTTACTGCCCCTATGGATCAACCACTATGTTCATACTAAGGCCAGGCTACCCAAATTCTGCTTTCAGCTCATAAATGAGCAAGGCCATTCTTCCTTTAGAAGATACAAGACCCTTCCAACAGGCATGAAGACTTCCCATTGGCTTGGATAAAACTTTCCTGGAACTGTTTTTGTAGTCTTTTCCTACCCAATCTTCCTTCCTTCCCTGTCAATCTAGCACTGTGCTTGTTTGAATGCATCTTCCTTCTTCTGTTCCCTCCCCACAAAAACAGCTTTCATGTTGAATCCTATCTTGGCATCTGCTTCTAGGCAGATCCAAACACAATTAATATTCTGTATTCTTCCTGATAATTTGTCTTCTTGTTCTATGGAATACTGAGAGAGGAATTTGTGTGTGTGTGTGTTTGTTCCTCTCTCAGTTCTGTCAGTTTGGACTTCATGCATTTTGAAACTTGTTATTAAATGAACATGTATTTCGAGTTTTTAAGTCTTCTGAATGAATTTACATGTATGTACATATGAAATGTCCTCCTTTATCCTTTTTTCTGAAATCTACTTTAATAATTAAATAGAGCCTGTGAAATAATATAGTATGTGTGTATGCACGTATAATACTAGTACATATCTGCCCCGTGTTCCTGTCACAGAGCTCCTAAAATTCTTGTAATTTCCTACGTCATAAGAATACTAGGAACATTTCTGTTGTAATATTTGGTCTTTGACTCCAGTTCATGACACGCAAATCCCTTGGAATTTCCTACGTGATAAAAGTGTCTTTTGTTCTAATGAGGTGACTTACAAATATTATTTTTATCATTGCCTTAAAAAATATTTTTACTTCCTGCTACTGGTAATTGGATGTTATTTGCCCTTCTTAGTAAACATTTTTTAAAAATCAGGGAAACCAAAGAGATTAAGGAGAGTTTTATTCTAAAGATAAGATACAATTTTACATTTTCCCAAGTCTACAAAAACTCTCAGAGCAGAAATACCTTTATGTCTGTCATACCAGCAGACACATTACTTATAAATGGGGAAGGGAAAGTTCACTTTCTGCCAAACTGAGGCAAAGGCGGTGGCACCTTAATATCTTGACCTCTCTCCAACTTCTTCTCACAATCCACCAAGTAATTGACTCCATCGATGACTATCTGAACGAGCTCAACCTTTGGCAGTGAAAAAGATGAATGATTAATTTTCACAGGAGACACATACAATGCATTGATCAATAGGAACAGAACTGGGACAATGAGAACTTGCCACATTAGATAGTCTATAACCATTTCTTCTTTCTCATTTTTTCTTTACGGGATTGTGGGAGAAGAGATGTCTGATGGTCACGGTCAGAGAGGGAAGCAGAGACATTTTACAGGGCTTCTCATGATCTTCCTTTAGTTAAGATAGGGTTACTACTTTGTGTGTGAGAACTTTTTTCATATGTTGAAACCATCAGTTTGCATCTCAGATACTTTTCCCCATCAGTCTCAGCTGTAAAATAACAGAGTTTGTCTAAAGGCAAAATTACACAGTAACACCCTTGTGTTGTTCTTTGGCCTGGATCTGAATTCTGACCTCCCACTAGGCTATCCAAGCACTGAATATACTATCGTTCAGATATTATCGTTTACACAGTAAATATATTTCTGAAAATTTGTTTAAAATCAAATGTTTAACAATTAAACAATGTTTTTACTTACCGGACAAGTTTGCTACTGAAAAGAAACTGTGAATGATATTAAGAAAAACTTAAATTTTCTGTTTTTTGAAAAATGTTAGAATTTTCGTTTACAAATATTGATGTTTTTAAAATTAGAGCACACCTACATATGAATTTTTTTTCTGGGGTCATCTCCCTAACAAATTACTTGCACTGTTCCTGCAGAGACCCAAACTAAGGTAGTAACTAGTTAGCTAACTCCAGACAGTACTAAAATACATTATTTAACTCAAGGATAAACAGTAAATATGGAAGGGATTGTTGAATATTATATCTGAACATACCTTAAGCATGAGGGAGTCCAGTCCCCTGCCCACCTCTTTTCATGCCTAAAAAACTGAGTCTTACCCTAGCTGGTTTGGCTCAGTGGATAGAGCGTTGGCTTGCAGACTGAAGGGTCCAGGTTCAATTCTGGTCAAGGGCACATGCCCGGGTTGTGGGCTCAATCCCCAGTAGGGGGCGTGCAGGAGGCAGCCGATCAATGATTTTCATCACTGATGTTTCTATCTCTCACTCCCTCTCCCTTCCTCTCTGAAATCAATTAAAATATATTTTCTTTTTTAAAAAGAAAGAAACTGAGGCTCCATGAAAGGTTTGGATCAGAAAGTTAGTCATTACTAAGCATATTTTGTACTCATCCAATTGACCCGTCCCCGTGTTGAAGAGGGTGGGGTGAGAGGGTCTCTCATTGATTGCCAGTGGGACTGTATCTTGGTATAAATCTCCTGATGGGGAACTTGGTTATCAGGACCTCTCATCTTCAACCCAGAAATTCCTTTCCTAGGAATTTTATTTTAACTAAATAGTCAGAATTGTGATTATTGTTATGCAAAGAGATTGGCATAGACTTATATATAGAGATGGCCAAACAAAGCATCAAATTATCAGGGAGATATTAAATAGATAATGGACTATCTTTAATGGGCTGTTATTAAACATCATGTTTTTGAAGAATAATATAGGAAAATGCTCATGATATAATACATTGGGGAAAGCTGTATTATAACATCAAATATATACTATAACACCAAATTTTGTTTAAGAAAAACCCAAACTTTTTTTGAATAAGTATAAAAGTGGAAGGTAATTCAGAATAATGTCCATGATGGTTATCTCAGGGAAGTTAGGTTAAATTTGAATACTTTTTGGTATTTTTCTAGCTTTTATAATGATTATCTATTAACTTAATTAGACATAAAATGTTTTCAAAGCAATGACTACCTTGCTTTCCATTAATAAAAATCTCGTTAATATTACAAGCAGACAGGGCTAGGCCCAGATTTTCTTTATTCACTACACCACACATTAGTCAGTGCATTTCAGAAGTTGTGGCATTTTTAGCTGCTTCTTCCTCAAGTACTTCACCAGAGCTGGTTTACATAGGCTGGTTTAATTGTTTTGAGTATTTTCTCATTTCTTTTTCTTAGTTTACTAGTAGGCATACCAATAGGCAATGAACTATTCAAAAGCTGGCAAGGGAGAAGAAAGAGCATCGATAATCCACAGATTGATAGATAAATTGATAGATAAATCCAGATAAATTGATAGAATGTACTGAGATCAGTATTTGCTTAGGATTCAGCTGCATGTTGCTTAAGTGTGCTCATTACGCGTCACCTCCTGCATCGCTCCAGGCCTGCATATACTGTATGTACCCTTTCCATCCCATATACTCACAGAATCCTAAGGATTATTTTATGAGCATAATCATTATGTACACCTAGTGCATACCTCATTTCTCATCTTTAGCCCTAAAAGTAATATTTCAGAAAGTATCAAGTATCTAAAAATGCCTAAATGAAGATGACAGTATGTGGCCTTCATTCACCAAAGGAAATTCAGAATCAGGAGAAAAATCCACTATTTTATCACCCTCAGTGAGAGAGCACACGTGTTCCCTGATTTCACAGTGAGGCACCACTACTGTCCTTTGGCATAACAGAGCTCCTGCTGCAGAAGACCTGGAATAGCTCCCGGGGGCAGGCTGGCGACCACAGTCCCACTGCACGCCCTTTGCTTGCCTGTACACTCCCAGCTGACACTGTGCTTCCCTTCATGCAGTGTTTCCGGTGGAAGAATAGCACTACAGAACCAAACACTAACGGGACTGGGATTCAGTGGGAAAGAGGAGGTCTCGGGTTTTGTGAATAAGGTAAGGCTGTTAGGCTACTTCTTTTTCTCGTAGGCTGATTTTGTTAGTTCATGTTCAGAGAGTGAGAGAGATGTTACCTCTGACCGGCCAATTCGATCGATGTTGGAAATATCGTACACGTCTGCCACCGCCGCAGTGTCCACACCGCCCGTGCCACGCTTCTGCAGCCTCAGGTTCTCCAGGATCTTGGAAAAGCGGGGATCCTGGGACAGGGGTAACACAGTGTTGTAGAGGCAAAATCCATGCACTGTCATTGGCACTTTCACGTAGAAAAGACATATAATGAGAGCTTATAACAGTTAGTGTTTATTAAGCATATATTGACTATGTACCAGGGCTCTGTGCTGGAACTTTTAACCTTACAACAACCCTATGAAGTAGGTTTTGCTTTCACCCCCATCTCACAGATGAGGAAACTAAGGCTCAGAGGAATTAACTTGCCCAAGGTCACACGTCTAGAAGGTTGCAGGGCTGTTTTTTAACTTATTTTCTTAACAATTTTATTAAGTTTATCGGGGTGACATTGGTTAGTAAAATTATATAGGTTTCAAGTGTATTGTTATTAATGTCTGTACTGCTTTTGTCACCTCTTGATGCCAGCTTTGGTGAGTTTTCATTATTCATCTTTATAATAGTTATCACTGATGTGGTTAAATCATGACGTTAAATCACATCAAATATTTTTTTCTAGAATTGGAATTATGAACAATAAACATTTTCATACCTTTTCGGCAGAAAGCACATTTTCTAAAGTTGTTTTAAAGTATTTGGTTCACTTGTTGTGGCAGAAATTAATTGCCCAACAGAATCCTTTTTTCCTTCCCGTCCACAGTGGAGCTGAGGAAGTGACCACTGGCTAAGTTTTTGCTAAGTTTGAGCAGAAGGATGTGTGCCTCCAGGCCTAGACCTGAAGTCTTTACATGGGAACACTTGTGTGCTCTCTCTCCACCTCCCATAAGCTCCCACTTGGGGCCTGACGGTGACCATGCAGAGGGGACAAGCCCTAAGACATGGTACTCCAAGCACAGCTTCCTGACCAGCAGCATCAGCGTCACCTGGGAACTTGGTAGACATGCAAATCAGGCGGGTAGGCCCAGCAGTCTGTGTTTTTACAAGCCTCCCCAGTAAGTCTGATGCAGTCTCAGGTCTGAGAACCTCTCCACTAGGAGAGGCAGAGAAGGAGATGGAAGGAACCCCAAGGAGCAGAGCAGCCCTTCTATCTATTCAGGTTTGTCATATAAGGGAGAATTTAAACTTTTTGTTCTTGAAGCCACAGCTCTTTCGTAGAGCCCCCTCACCTCTGTCCTACTGAAACAAATGTCTTTTGTGGTCAACTTCACCTTCTCTCACTATTTTTTGGTTGTAGGTGCAGAAAGTAAGGATTAAGGCATGGGCAGTGACATTTTCTCCCTCCACAAAGCCGTCCCCTCTGAGGGGATGCTGGAGGAACCCAACAGCGCTGCTGGCTACATCACATTACCTTGCTCAGCTTCGGGATCTTAACGTGGACACCAGCCCGTAATCCTGTGCCAAGGTTCGAAGGGCAGGTCAGAATGTATCCGAGGCGCTCATTCCACATGAACTCCCAGCCTCGTTCTTGGATCAAGCGTTCTACCTACAACAGTGAACAAATGATGGAGTTCTCAGATGTCCGTTCATTCAGCACACCCCAAACCTCAGGGAGAAGTGTGTGTATGTGAGTGCCATGATCCCTAGGATACAAGAGCCCCATCTTGGAAGGCACTGCATTGTCTTCTTTTAAGAATGAAAAATAAAGATATTTTATTTTAGTGAATATTCAGAAATCTCTGATAACATCTTACTTCTTTTAGTCCACGACAGAATCGCTCAAATACTCTTTTCATATTGCCTCCTTTTTCCATAGAGATTACCCTGGTGTGGTCTTCCTCATTAATCCAGATGAGAAATGTCTTGTCATAATTATGCCTAACAAAGAGAGAAATATGGTGTTGAGTGTTAATTATATTTGTTTCAACACATGCAAATTCCCATTACCTCTTTGGCTTGATTGCTTCATTTTATCTTCCTAATTTCTTAGATGGCCCTAATCTCGTAATTGTGCCTGAACAAGTACTATAAAATGCTGTTACAATGACAGAATGAAGAATAAGACCACTCCAACCCTTATATATGTCATGTTTTTGCTCAACAAGAATATAATCTCCCTCATTCCTCAGACTAGGATGACAATAATTCAACTATGGTAACATTTGGCTTTGACACTAATAGGAGTGTTTTATCTCCTAATAGATTCAACCAAAATCTTGTGGTCCTTAAAAAAAAAAGTTTTACCTGCAGTCTAAGGTATCAGAAGTGCAGAAGATTTTTACCTATGTTTGCTGTATAGATCCTACCTACTCCCACTGAGCAGCTGCTCAGGAACACTTTAATCTCATCTCTTTCAGGTAGTGTCATAATAAGCTACCAAGGTACAGGAATCAAAGTGGACTGAAAACTGTTGGCCAAGATCAAATGTATGTGTACTTGGTATCCATTCTTCCTCATTGGGTTTTACTTAAATCCTCAATATTTACTTTTCATTTTCTGCTCTTTTGTTTTAATGTCATGAAACATTTTATGTGAGGTCAAATAATATGAACCTAATTTTTTCTTAAAGAATATAGTCTTTTTCTCATGCATAATTCATGCAAACCAGCCAATGTCCCTACATATCTTAGAAACATCACACACACACACACACACACACACACACTCACACCGAGTTTCTAAATACTCTCTCTCCGGTAGCTCAAGCTGGGCATGCTGTCAAGTGCACGTCACAGCAACTTCAGGTTAGGACAAGCAGACGGCCTGCAGGAGAGCCTCTGCACACACTGCAAATGTGAAACGCTGTGTCCCTACCAGATTCCCCGGGCATCAGGCCAGTCACGGGCCATCCCAGCACACGTTAACAAAGGGGATACTGGCTTATCAAACAGAAAGTGGTCCTGCAGGCCAAGAGGGACAAAGCAGAAAGGAGAAACGGATGAGATCGGGCATGACTGCCAGTGCCAGGTGTCCAAGTTTCAATGCACTAATCATGGCTGAGGTCTCTCAGGCAGTGGTCCTCCGCCGTGGCTGCCCACTAGAATAACCTGGGAACTTAAAAATTAGGACTAATGCCCAGGCCCCAGAGATTCTGACCATATGAGCTGTGGCCTGGACAGTGGGATTTTTAAAAGCTCTTCAGGTGATTCTAGTGTAGAGCTAAGTTGAAACCCACTGGGTTAGACCAGGGGTCCTCAAACTTTTAAAACAGGGGGCCAGTTCACTGTCCCTCAGACTGTTAGAGGGCCGGACTATAGTTTAAAAAAAAACTATGAACAAATTCCTATGCACACTGCACATATCTTATTTTGAAGGAAAAAAACAAAACAGGAACAAATACAATATTTGTATTTGCATGTGGCCCGCGGGCCGTAGTTTGAGGACCCCTGGGTTAGCCCAATGGAAACACTTCATCGCCAGGGAGTGTGTAAACCCCACCAGCACCACCCCCATGCAGTGGCAGAGTGGGCAGTGAGTAAGGGGCACTATCCTGAAAAGTCTGTTCTGCACACCCACCATCCTCTACGTTTCTAACATTACTGATTCATTTATTACCATTCCTTTCATTAAAAAGTCTTAGAAATGTGAAATAAGGATCTACAAATAAAAATAGCCACCACTAATTTAATGCTGACTGTGTGCTGGGCTCTATGCTATGTGCTTATCATTTATTTCCTTAAGTCTCGCAACGACACTATGCGCCAAGCATAATCATTCTCTTTTATAGGTGAGAAAAACTGAGATTCGGAAAGAGAAAATAACCTATCTGATATCACACAGCTAGGAGGTCGTAGAGCTTATATTCAAACCTAGACCTGTATGACTCCCAAGCTTGCCTTCAACTACAATATACTACTCTACATATCGAAATCAATGTTGAGTGACCGACATGTTTCCTTCCGTGTGTACACAGTAAGGAGTGTGAACATGGATACCATGCATTCAGTATTGTTACACGGAGTCAGAAATCAAGAGGCTATGGGCAGGGAAGTCTTTCTTCAATCTCTGAGAAGTAGAAGAGGTCAGAGACTTGAGCCAGCACAGGCTTGTGGACAGTCACTGCCCACGAAACAGTGTTCCTTAAGCTGGGAACCAGAAGTGGCTACGTGAGGTGCAGGAGGGCTGGTTCTGTAGCGGGACAGGGGGAGGGTTGGCCTGAGGCTGCAGAGACCAGGAGACTGGCCTGCCTGGTTTGGAAATGAGGCATATTTTGTGACGTTGCATCTTCTGAAATGACAGGTATTTGTTTCTGCTGCTCCTTGGACTTTAGTTAAACGTTACTTTTGAAACTGCCATCCTGTTTTAGCTGTGCTTTGGGGCTGGGTTCTGTCCACTCTAGTGTTGGAGTGAAGCTGTGTTGGACGTGGAGGCGGCAGGCATCCCAGAGGCTGGATCCAGTGCCTGTCAGGGCAGGCTCCACCTGGATTAGCTCCTTCCCAGGTTTTCCTAGTTCCCACCACTTCCTGTGGGTGTGGCACAGGACTTCCACACCTTTTTGTTTTCATTTACCAGCCAGCAGGGAAATCCTCCATTCACCTCCACTCATACCCAGATCTGCAGATCTGACCCTTAGAGCACTTGCGTGGGTTGACCTAACGTTTTAAGGCCTCATCTTCACGACTCTGAACACGCAGACGCCCCAGCAAGCTCCCAGCCAGGGCAGGGCCTGCGCTCGGGGAGAGGCCGCACTGCGTGGGTCAGGGCTCAGCCCCACCCCGGCGGCCCGCGTGGTTC